ATCAAACAAAGTTATAAAATGTATAATATCCAACAATATCTCCCTTGCGACAAATCATCGCACAGGAAAGGCGTAGATGCGGTATGGAGGGAAATCTCCCTCATTCTTTACTTCAACAGCAAGTGGAGGTGATTATGATGTGTATCCGAGAAAGGGACCCATATCAACCGGTGAACATGGCAGCCTCAGGCCGGTGTGAGCGTAGGAGCAAAGAGTAATAAATGAAAAGAAAGAAGACTGTTTCTACCTGAAGTTAATTACCCATGATTCACTGTAATTAAATTAAAGACCGACCTTGTAAAATAATTGAAATTTCTTTTGCGCTAGAAGCATTCGTAGTCTTTGACGAGTTGTGGTATAAAATTGCCTGTACATAAGAAAATGCCGTTTTTAAAGAAACCACAAAAATACAAGTTAGAGGAAACATTTGGAATAATTCAGAAGTGTAGAAGAAAAACTGCCTCATGCGTCTTTAATCCATCTCCATCTTGGTCAATACTCATTTCCGTGTGCATGTCGAGAGACTAGGCTATGCCAGATGGAATCATTTACTACACGAAAAATACGTTTTATTAAAAAGGTCAATCGTCTGCTTAAAATTAAATTTATTTTAAAAAGAAAAGTGACGCAGAGGTAACTGCCTTTTCTATGCATAGCCTTTAATTCGTTGTTTAATCTTCCATGTCTATGAGACTTGAAGATCAAGATGGCTTCGGTTACAGAATGAAGTCGGAATAAACTGACCACATGAAAAATCACGGTGGCGATAAGAAGATGGCCGATATCTGGGTTGTGCGCCGTGTAGTCTGGTAGAAGTTTAGAGACGTTTCGGAGGTGCTTGATGCCTCCATCATCAGGTCGGTCGCCTTGATGATGGACGCAGAAAGCACTTTTGAAACGTAAGTAAACTTCTATCATACTAAGCGGCGCAATAATCAAGAAGACAAACTTTCAGAACAATAATTTATTTACGGCTGTCAACGTTCAAAATGTAATATTCCTATTTATTTTTACACCCATCGATAATTTTTATTGGATTTCCAATGGATCTAAACGTATATTTGTGCGTCGTTTAACATGATCAGCGGCCACAATGCAGAATAAAGTTACAATACAAATATATCTAATAAATCATTAGAAATAAATGCAATTTTTAAAAATTTGGAAACGGCAATAACAAACAAATATTATAGTCACAAATAAATTAAGGTCAGATTAAATTATATTGTAAATAATTGTCTTCGGTTTTCGAATCTGAAGACTAATTAATAAAAAATTTGCGCTGTTGTCGCCTGAGTTGCGACACAGTGTAATCTTGTAGGTAGTTAGACCAACAACGTTTCGGAGGAAAGTATCACTTCCATCACCAGGGCAATTGTTCCTCCGAAATATTTGAAACCACCAGCAGGACAATACGATCTCAGCTCAAAAAGCAATCCACATACAACGTTGTGATTTAGGCTCTTGTTTTGTTTTGGGTGCGCTAAGGGACGGATACCAACTAAAAATGTTTGCTAACAGAAATCTGCGAAGGATTTAGACGCAAGAGGGAGCAGGTAACAGGAGAACAGAAAGAGCAACATATTTGTACCTTTCACCAAAGTTTATTAGGAATGTAGGAGCGTAAATTATACGAAGATACGAGAAATGGTTACAAAATTTTAGATGAAGAACTTGCAAGAGCAACATATTTGTACCTTTCACCAAATATTAATAGGAATGTAGGAGCGTAAATTATAGGAAGATACAAGAAATGGTTACAGAATTTTAGATGAAGAACTTGCAGTGACACGGTCACTTTGGAGACTTTGACGCAGTAAGGATGATAATATTAAAAAGTATCTTAAGAAAATAAAGTGTACGGAAGTGGACTGAATAAATCTACGTCTTGACAGAGTTTATTGGCGGCATCTTGTGGACACGGTAATGAACCTTCTTGCCATTTTAAGGTAGTCACAGCATGTCTAATGACTGAGGAAAATCGTACGTACACACATTATACACATACATACCAGGGGCACTAACCACTAAGTTCAGTCAATCGTCGCCGGTAGCCGAACTAATTATGGACTGTGCAAAATTCTCAGATGTACAGACAGAGGGACTATATCGGACGCAAAATGGAACATGGACATTTTAACTCACTATTTAGTCGTAAACCTGCAGTAAGCGAGAAGTTACCGAAAGGATAAAATTGCTCATTCTAATAAAACAATAAGTTATGACTACCCGACTGCTACGTGCAAACATACACATTAAAATAAACACGAATATAACTTAACTTGTCATTTTGTACCGGTGTGGAAATTTGTCTGTCTTATTACGGGACTTGAGAAAATATTTGGATCTGAGAGGAAGGAAGTAACAGGAGGGTGCATAGTTCACCAGATATTTTCAGTGTTATAAAGTCAAGGAGGATACGATGGGCGAGATATGTAACACGCATGATAAATACATACATAATTCTATTAGTAAAACGTGACGGTAAGAGACCATTTGTAAGATCTACGCGTAGATATGAGGACAATATCAAAATGGATCTTAAAATTGGGCTTAATGATGTGCACTGAATTCATCTGCTCAGAATACGGACTACCAAAGCAAATTTTTTTAACATGACTGTCCTAATAATTAAGCTTGGAAATTTATAAGAAGCAGAAAACGTATTTATTATCTGAGAAAATATTAGCTTTTGAAAAAATGTCTCTGCCCAATGAAGTTAGCTGAATATGACCATAGTTATCACTGTAAGTAAAGTTAAGCTCGGTTCAGTGTAATTTAATACGTGTTATAAATATCACATCGTATGCAAAAGAATTTAGGTCAGCGTTTCCTTGCCTATGGTCTGTCATCAGCACAGAGTTCATTAACTTTGTTGCCAGAGTACCACCTTCAACACGTTAGGCTAATCACCTGACCTATACTCTGCTATCAATATTCAGGCAATTTGTGTCATTATCCCGACGATAACAAACAACGTTTGTAGCCAATGTAATTACCTGTCTCTCGAGGGCATTTATTTTACACTGGAAGATATTTAATTCACATCTATATGTTTTGTCAAAAGTTTATTGATTTTAAGAACATTTATACCTGTTGCAAGTATACACTACTTAATTTAAGTATAAAATAAAATAATGGCCTTTGATAAACGTGATACATATGATCTCAGATTTACAAAACACCATAATTGTATATTTACAAATTTATAGTTGGAGCTCATTTTAGTCCATGGTGTACGATGAAACATATTTGTGCACAGTAAAGCATTCACATTAATAGAAAGGTAAGTAAAATCAATTGTTGTTGGTTAGAAATTTCAGGTCACACAATACCGGAAAATGAGACAGGAGACAATAAAACATAGAAATGCAAATATCTGTGAATACAGTTTGCTCACGTAACCAAAAGCAAATAGAAAAATGTAATTCTAAGAATAGACGTTCCCGTATATTTGATTGAGACTATTTAGACAAGATGTAAAGGAAAGTTATAAAATACAGTCGCTAAAGGAAATGTATCAATAATTTGCAAGTATTATTAAAGTTTTTCTCTCTGTTCCATATATAACTTTCCAGAACACCGCCATTACATAACAGAGACGTTACTACATAAAATAAGTCTTCATCGCAAACATTACATAAGTTTAATTGGTAGAAGCCACATCACGTCTCGCCTGAAAATCTTTAGGTCTTTAAAATCCCCCATCAACAATTAATTTCTTTATATTTTTTTTTAAATTTGCAGAAAGTTAAATTTAAAAAGCGACCCCAACTACACGTTGGTGTTTTCAACATCAAGCCACCTTACACGGCTGGTAGCCCGAGAAGAATTTATTAAACTGCGGTACCCATTGGACACGAGGCTGGGTGGCCCCAGATCCGGTCTGGAACTTGTGGCACTCCCCGGAACAGAACCCCGGCCTTGCAGATCGTAGCCTAGTCACGATATTGAAAGAAGCACGGTGTCCACAAGGGATTTTTTAAGACCTAGTCTTCGAAGGAAAGGGTTATGACGATGTAATCTACATTAAACTACGGCGACAATTTGTGATGAATGTCTTTCAGTTTTCTGAAGTGTCCACGGCTAAAAGTAGACGTCATATCATGGAATGGGTTGATCTATTTGTCGAGTTCTAGGCTTCCGTCTACAAACATTTCACAGTATCTGGGTTACCTGATCACTACGTGGATATGAGGCCTGTCATGTCAACGCGGTGGACGGATACTAGTTACAAACTGAGGTGGGTTTACATGCAGATGTTGCCTACAGCCTACGGCTAGCTAATGGTCCAGGGGATTATAATATCGAAAGTGATACGACACGACATGGACACTGTCACTTGATGAGGAACACGCCACAAGATCAATGCGTCGGATTCGAGTCATAGCACGTTGATCAGAACTTCAGAATCTGACGTTGACCTCAAAAAACAGATTCCAATTTCATGATTTTAAATGGTAACAGTTCTATAAGCCAGTCATTGAACATGAGCGGATTAGAACTGGTTTACAGGACAAAGAGGCATATCACTTACTTCACGTTCAAACTGCACCTAAAATCGAGCATTATAATTTGTATTATTCACTAAATATCATTAGGGTTATCAAAACCAGAAGTCTGAGATGGGCAACGCATGTACATCGCATCAATAGAAGAAAAATTCTTAAGCTATCAAATCCTAGTCAGATAACCTAAAAGGAAAAGACCACTTCTAAGGTATAGACGTTGAAATGAGGATAATATTAAAATATATCTAAAATAGAGTGTATGTGTTTTGACTGTCTCCATCTACCTCGGGAATGTGGCCATGAACACCGTAATGAACCCTCGAATTACTTCCATAAGAGCAATTACGAGCTTCTCGAGGGAAATTCTGCTCCATGAAGTCAGTTAACTGCACATGGGCCCACGCTCATGTTTCTGTTATAATTTCCCTAAGTTAAATATAATTTTCCTCCATGAAAATGTGAATGACAAAATATTAGAAGAGGTTTTAAACAACGCCGACAAGCTTTACCTATAACTGTACTTCGCAAATATTTCTAAACACCAACGTCGGTTACTTACGGCCACCTGACGCAGCTGATTGCGAGCGAAGTCTTTGCTGAATTCATTTGCCGCGAAAGCTATAGAATAATCTTTTATAAAATTATAGTACGGATTGTAACGAAAGGCGCACTTGTAGGAAGATACAAACTATGAAAATTTACTTCTAGTTTCCTTTTAGTGAATGTTTACTGGTATTCCTTCGTAATTTGTATGTTTTAAAATAAATTTTTTTACGGAGATAAAAAACTTACGAAGGATATTTGAATTAATGGGAAATAAGAAAAAATAATAAATATAAACTACTGGTTAGGACGTGGGTGAGGAAATTTTGGCTCGCAGACAAAAACCCGGCAACTCAAGGGATTTGGAAGGAAAGGTAACCAAGAACTGACATAGAATCTGAGGTTCTCATTGCGACAAATATGAAGATGGCTGTCTTCTGGGTTGCATTCACGTGCAGTCTGGTAGAAGTTTGCCAACATTTTAGAAATCGATACGTGTTTCAGAAAGACGTAAAACAAATTAATTCAGCGTCTTCGTTTGCTAGTTTTTACTGTAAATCCGTATTAACATATTTTACAAAATATTATTTTTAATTGTAACAGCTTCGAGTTCAGTAATAACAAGTTATTCCTCGTATCAGACGAATTCATACAGCAGACTGCTGAGAAATCTTTCTGCACTAGGCAGTTATTTCACATAGGGCTATACTAATTAATGGAAAGACGCAGACACACGTTAATAAGCACTTTAAATGTAACTAGCTTATGATAATTTCACACACTTTCCGTAACATCGATAAGACTGAAATTTTAAAGGAAATATAAATTATAATAAAAGATCTACTATTACGCCAATGTTTCTATCCACAAGTGTGCTTTTAAGCAAGAAATAAAATTCTCTATGACCATCGTCCCAATGTTCCCTATACTATATACCAAGCGTTCAACATGTCATTTGAAAGACGTATAATCTTCTTTGTGCCAAGATAAACTTGCTTTTGGCAAGCGTTTCGAACTAAGCAGAAATAAGTTTTCAGCAGTAACAGAATGGACGACATTCAGTGAAAGTTGTGTATTGTTTCCTTTCAGAACCCCTGGTGGTGTGATGGGTGATGCGCAGAACGTGGAAGAGTGGAAGAAGCTCATCTCTCGAACAACATATCACCAATATGCACGCAGAGAGATCAAACACGAGAATTCAGCGTTTATTATCAATATAGACATCATAGTACTGGAAGTGACATTGATAACCACATACGCTGCATGTGAAAATTTGTCATTTATTTTTCGTGAGTGGTGGAATTAAACTGAAACAGAAGCAGACAAGAATTTGTTGAGTTACGTTCGTGTTTCAAAGCCTCACAACTTTGTAACTTCCTACCTACTTTCGTATACAAATCTACTGAGTATTCTGCGATAAAATTAAATTGTTAAGCTGCCATCTATAGTGTAACATCAGGATGCGAAACCTATATATCCGATCCAGAACAAATCTGTTGCAGACATTGAGTACACTTCCACATAATCTGTAGTTACATGTATCTCCCCAACCATACAAAACAATAAAAGAAATAAGCATATTTCTTTTGAGACATCGGTTCTCTGGGGATGTTCGTGTTGACTGCATATGTTCCATTCTATAAAAGAAATACTTGAAAATGTGGACCTTGTGCAGAGACCTCGGATAAAAGTAACACGTGCCAAGTTTCTGTAATATCCCGTCGTTGAGTGAAGTGAAGTGGCTCTCCTACATATTAAGTTCCGCTTGTCACACAGTCAAATAAGGCAGAGCTCACGAAAAATGAAGGAACAACAAGTGAAAATTCGTTATATTATAAACGTGACTCCAGTAAAATATTACGTAACATAAAGAACAATCTAGTTCCAGAGCATTCCATTCTACGACAATGGCTTCATTGATTCCTCTAGAAACTTCACCGAAAGGGAACCACAGCGAAGAAGGCCCCTCTGAAAGTCACGATTCTGGATTTACAGGCGTCGCTGCAAGTCAGTTACAGACCATGCACCGAAATATTGACAACATCACGACACGCGTCTCCCCGCGTCTTGACTCGGCGCCTTTAGTCGTGGCTGCAGCCGTTCTTCTGGTGTTCGTTCTGTCGCCGATGATACTTTGCGGTAACTCCCTCATCCTTACTGCCGTCTACAGGTTCAAAAGACTACGGACCCCGAGCAACTACCTTCTCGCCTCTCTTGCATCCTCCGATCTGGGTGTAGGACTGTTTTTGCCTGTAGGCATGTACCTGGAACTCACTTCTTCCAATAGTGACAGTGTTGGAGAGACTGTGAATATAGGATTATGCCTCATACCATATTGTTTGGCCATTTCGCTGTGTAGTGTTTCCGTGCTTGTAATGGCTGCTATAGCTGTGGACAGATTTACGTCTCTAGCACAACCTCTGAGGTACAACAATCTCATCACACACACATCGGTAGAGCGATACATCGCTGCGTTCTGGTTGTACGCGCTGTTAGTGGGATTTTCGCCTCTAGTCTACAGCCAGTGCATCGCAGCGAGTTCGTCGTTGTACGACCGCAACTGTTCATTTGGCTCCGTTGTAGCCACTCCCGTTCAGCTATTCCTCTTCTGCTCTGTGTACGGCCCCAGCGCGCTCATCCTGCTGGGTTGCTATTGCTACATCTACGTGGTGGCAAGGTACCATGCCAGAGCGATCTACTCCGTCGAACTATCCCTCAGACAGCACCAGGACGGTTCTCACTGCCGCTACGGACAGACGCTGGCAATCACAGTAGGCTTCTTCATCTGTCTCTGGCTGCCTTTCCAGGTAATTAAACTATCACAGAAGAAAAATTAACCCTATGATCAGCTCAAAAGTCGTACAGCTACTTCGGTGGGGCGTGACGTTAAGTTAGGTTACTATTTCAATTGAGAACAACTCATGGTCATATCTCACATCCTAATGAACAATCAGTAACATGGATGTACAGCTGAGAGATCAGTTTCAAAATTTAGTCAATGGTGCCCCCGGATGATGGAACTCCTTTTTATATATTGGACAGGAGGAGACCAGATAATCTCCATAGAATTATTCTGGACTCACTAGTGAAGACAAAATTGAATGTTAGTGGCGGATATAGAACCCCCACTTCTCAGTTTGTAGACCATGCCTTTGTTAATTTCTTACAAATTATTTTATTACTTTTGTTATTATCAGCAAACAAATTAAACTGCATATTATTTTTTAAATCCCTCCACAGCTTGTAAATTAACGTATTCCTTAAACAAAAGTCAATCAGATCTGTCTTTTATAGCCTGCAACAGACATAAAAATTACTATCTTGGGATGTTTTACCAAGTAGTGTGGTAGAAGTTTAATCGACGTTTCAGAAGTGCTTACTGCCTCTATCATGGACTTATTGCCCTGATGATGGAGGCAGTAAGCATATCTAAAACGTCAGTGAACTTCTACCAAACTACACGGAGCAACAACTCGTAATTTAGCCATCTTCTTAGTTGCCGTCGAGAGAACCCCAAATTTTACTCCATATTCCGTCTCGTTCTTACAATCACTGAAGTGGCATGTATTCATATGAATTCTCTCCCTCCACTCCACAGGTCTGTATGTTACTGGACATATTTCGTGGGACTCGTATCCTGAGCGAATGGACGTCCATCTATCTCGCCCTTCCAGTTTTCGCAAGCAGCGCAGTAAATCCGTGGGTATACGGTTACCGGAACTCGGAAGTACGAACTTCTGTTCAGAGAGTAATGGAGGAACTTCTGACCAGATTAGGCTTCGTTCCTTCACACTACGGCTGCTCTGAACTTCTTGCGGCTGCTAATGCAGACCAGGCCGAACTCAACAGCTTTGCGTCCCATGTCCGCCTCTGTGCGGTCTCGCCAAATCGAACCACCCTTCTCCTCATCCCCTCGACACGACAGGACACAGCTGAGGGAAGCACAGCAGTGACCTCCGTCAAGGAAACGGTTGTGCATCTAGAACTTCCGCCTGAGACACTGACCAACGGCGAAAAAGTTGTCATGTAACGCGCGGATTCGCTGAACAAGCACAAACTAATGACAACTAGGGGATAAGTTTGAAATGAACACGATTGTGTGTATGGAAGTGAATGGTGTGTTCATATTTTTGTTTATACGTGATATATTAACATCTATAAAGAATTAAATAGTCTCTGAATTATATACACACATATTTATTGACCTTAAATTTGTTCTTTAAACATGGCTTCTCCCTAATCTTTCTGCTTCTGAAATATGCGTTATCAAATTGAGAAATGTAGAAAGATACAACGCATAATTGTAATTCAACTGAACTCAACTTGCTGCTGTAAGGCAGGGTACCTGCTGTGTCCGACATGTTTCCCAACAGTTCGTGTCATAACAACATCGACTCGATATTAAAAATTTACATTAGTTAACTGCATTAAAACTTAAACTCGTAACTTCATGTATGTAGAAACATTTCTTTCCCCACAGCATTGATTTGTTTTTTTTTATCAAAATTTCTTTCAAAAGTCATTAAGAGCAGGTTAATTTCGATAAATACTTAATAAATTCATGAGCCGGGATAGCTCAGTCAGTATAGTGACTAGCTACGGGCTGGACGACCGGGGTTCGATCCCCGACGGGGGCAGAGGATTTTTCCTCTAGCCTCTGCGTCCAGACTGGCTCTGGGGCCCACCCAGCCTCCTCTACAATGGGTACCGGGGTCCTTTCCCGGGGGTAAAGCCGGCCGGGGCGTGATGCTGACCACTCACCCCCATCTAGTGCCGAGGTCAAGGAAGAGAGGAGCTATACCTCCACTCACCCCAAACGCCTACATGGCGTATAGTGGGACAAACTTTACTTTACTTTACTTAATAAATTCAGTTCATGATACGCTGACTTCTCGCTCAATGTTAAAATCGTAAAGGTTAAAATAAAAATAAAAATTTTTACCCACTACTTTGAATGAGTGAGAATTTCTCTCGCCGTAATTTAGTGAAGTTATAATCTAATAGGTATATTTTATCTCGGGACTAAATGACCCGATTATTCTAATCGAAACGCATATTTCTAAAAAAAATCTTTTTCCAAGTAGGAATATCTCCTGCACATTTTTATCGGAATGAAAATCTCGCTATTTGTAAACTTAGCACAGTATAATTTAAAAAAAAATCTTTAACAATTTTTGTCATAAATCAAATAAAGTGTAATGTAGTACCACACTCGTTCTTGTTCCCCATACTACCACTACGACGTAAAAAATCTTGAGACACGCTGAATAAAGCGATGAAGTCTGTTGGGGAAATAAATACTAGTCGTCTCAATAAAATCATTCGTGGTGGTCTTCTAAACTGACAAGCCGTGTAGCATTTTGGATATATGACTTCAGTCTTGAAGATAGAGACACTACATTCCTCCGAAACGTTATTACAGGGCCAAAACGCTTCAGTCTAGAAAATTGTAATCTGTATTTTATATCAAAGTGAGAACCTCACATCCAGGACAGAAATAATTTATAATCTGAAGTGTACGCTATATGAGTAAATGTTAACTCTTATAAAATATATTTCTGTGAATTTAATAATTCCGTCACCTTCATTTAATTTACATATAATTCTTTCCATAGTAATAAATTGATGCTCTTTTCAAGAAATTCATAATTGATGTGTAAAATTATAATTTGTTGTCAAATATTCTACTCCAGAGTAAGTTTAGTATAACAGTTGCTCTTCTGTATTAAATAACCAAGTCTTTCTGACAGAGAACCGATTACGTTCATTTTTAAACGTGGCGTTTTTTATCTGCCTCGAGTGTCCTTCTGGCTGGATCTGTCGTTGTAGACACAATTCTCTAAAAATAAATATAATCCGATTCTCACTCGTTTGTCCACTTGCACACATACACTGCAACATTTCTAGAACTCCTCCTCAAGGACTGAGCAGAACTAATGGGGCCGTTTTTCACTAAGTTCACAGCCTAAGCGAAATATAAAATATCTCTTTGTGGTATGCTATGCATCCTCAATATATTTCCTTCCGTTTAAATGGTGAGAAAGTAAGATTGTTGTCAGTTCATCGAATTGTAGCCACGTCATTTAATGGTCACATATTTCCTGAAGAAAACGAAAAGTCATGTTTAGCTGTACTTTTCTGTAGACCTCTGTCCCTTTTATAAACTACAATCAAAAATATTCTTTTCAGATGTAAAAAAACTCAAAAATCGCGTATCGAATTCTGAATGTATTGGTTGAGAGATACGCGTTTCAATAAAGGAATTATAAGAAATGGTGCTAGAAGTAGGTTATTTGCCATTTTAAACATAAGAACTCAATCCGTATAGCGAAGAAAACAGAATTTCAGCATTTTTACGGGCTTTTAGTTAACGCTGTTCAAGGAAACAATTTCTGTTTGCAATTGAGATTCATATAAAATCCATAAATCAAAAATACGAAGTTACTGATCGTTAAAGCAGTTTATTATATATACAGTCGCTGCCAGGCGTTGAAGGGCTGGTGTATCTAAAAGATAGACAGCAACATCCCGTTAAACTAATTTTTATCGTTGACTGTCATGCACGAACCAGCTGATATGCTCACCATAGGGCACCGAGTGACCCAAAGTGTTCGGCGAGTGAAGTGTTATTCATTTGGAACCCCGCACGTACATCCATTAAACAAAACACGCTCAAATAACCGCGAAATAAGTATGGTCTGTGTCTTCAGCCCTGCTGTTGCAGCCAAGAGCAGAGTGGTTCGCGTTTAACCTGCCATTCTTGACAGGTCGACCTATCCAGAACATGGGCGAATACGAAGTACGTGTTGGTGCCTCTTAGAGGGATGACTCAGAGGTATACATAGGTACTCCTATGTCACAACAGTATTGTAAAAGCGCAATAAGATGGCAGCCCTCTCAGCTGTTGCACAGTGTAGTCTGTTAGAAGTTTACCGACGTTTCAAAGCAGCAGGTACCTCTGAAACGTCGGTAAACTTCTACCAGACTTCACTGCGCGACAACCAATCTTCAGACTCAATCTTCAGAGAATTTTAATGTTCAACAATTAACTCTTTATAAATTAAACTATGCTATTTTTCAGTTCCTGGTATAACAAAATAATATTCACCTGTCACACAAAACGTGATTTGTTAACGCTCGCTTAAAATACCTTTCCCTGCTCAACGTCATATAAACTAACTTTACAAACTTTGTCTAACGAAAATATCAGAATAGAATGTAACTTATTTCCTCCAAATGTACCAAATTTTGCACTCTGGCATTCTTTTATTTCTAGCACGGGAATGTTATTTGTTGACCAATAATAGAACCATTGATATCTATCATATTCCAGTCCCATACATTTCGTGACGAACAATCTTTGTGTTATGATTAAATAACAATCTGAGTCGAACATTCTATATCCAAATCTGTAGAAACAAATGGTGTCCACTAAAAATAATACGCATACAATGATCTTAAGCTCATGTTACATTCGGCATTACTGTATTAAACTCATGAAACAAAATTTGAAGTCGTTCAATCTTTTCCATCTGCAAATAAAACAGAACAAAATATGAAACAACATTCAAATTCAATTACGTTTCGTTCTCAGTCACTGGGCACTTCCAATTTGAAGCACAAACGACAAATTTCGTCTCTCGTCCTGTTTAATTGGGCATGTTAAAATTCTCTGGCTTATGTAGCTTAATAGAAATTCCAGAAATTAATATTCATACATCAAATTGTAAATCTGAACAACTTACATAACATTCAGCCAGAGCAGTATTGGTAAAGAACTGAAATTAACTTTATTATGCACATAATCGATATTTTAAATTCATATTAGTTCTAAGTAATTAACAGGTACAGACTTAAGTATAATTCAAATGTACACAGAAACTCAGGAATGTATTAAACAAGTCTGGTTTGTTTGTTCGGTTTGATAGTCGATCTGAATGATTTTTATCCACGTCACGTTCTCAGATTACAGCCGTATCATTTACACTTTCCGATTTTCTCGATTGAAAGCGTGTTATTGCTACAACGAGCGCAGATTTCAAAGGACCGAGGCTTTTCTGTCCCATCGCCTTCTCATTTTATAAATGTCGTTCATTGGCATTCCTTGTGTTTTCCATGCCGCTTTGCACTAAGTCTCTGAAAAACTCCTAATGGTGAACACAGAGCATACGATCCGTGAAAAGATGCATTAAGCAGTACATAAATGTAACATCTTCTATCTACTCAGATTAAAAGCAGAGCACACTTCAAAGAAAATAAACTGATTTAATTTAAAAGCACTTTGAGTTCAAAACTTAAATTGAAGCATTAAAATAAAAAAGGTGTGTCAAATGAGTAATAAGAGAACACCTGTTTGCTGCATAAGGTGCGTAAATCCAAGCAGAAGATTCCTCACGTTCTGATGTTTAAAAGCTCATTAATAACGTTTTAAAAATATACCTACAAAGCTGCCACTGGTTAAATTAAAATTTAATAACTGCATAATATGGTACTGAATCTAATTATTACAAGTGTTTACATACCGACTTGGCTTATACAGTAATTGGATACAAAATGTTTTTGACAAAATGGTAAAATCAATATGCCCAGCAGCTGTTAAAATAATTCCATGCACAAAATTCAAATTTAGCTTCAGTGTTTCTTAAAGTATATCTTCATCATCCCAAAAAAAAGTAGGCAATGGAAGTTCATTGCTGATGGCTTCAGATTTCATTACTATTGATTAACTCATTTGCTACCAGACGTCGCCAACGGAAGCTGGAGTAACCGAATTTCCTGCTAACCAAAAAACATCAATAGATACGATGGTCGTATGAGTTACCGTGTACCACCGGTAGTAAAAGTAAACACGTTCAAACAATATACAAAATTACTTCACTTTGGGAAGATTTTGTACATACATAATTTATTATTTTAGGATCACATCTACTAATTACCTACAGATGGATTGCTTTATTCAAGTCTGTAGACGCAATAACGAATAGATTTGTGGTAGGAAATCCTGGTTCTCGGGCCCGCCATGTGGATGGATGGAGGCTAGTCGAAGGTTTGACATGCTTGTATTGAACGTGTCAGCCAGCGACCGGCTACCGTCAGAGTTGGAGGGCCAACAGTCAGGATTTTCCGCCCAGAATTGTTCACATAATGATGGCAATAACACTCTATATTCAGCAACATAAAAATATT